TTTGAATCACATCGTTATGAGATTGTGGCCAGATCCATTTACGTTTGAGTTGCCAACCGTCAACAATGTCACCAACTAAATACAAATAATCAGCATCATGAACTTTTAAAAAATCTAGCAGAAAGGTCGCTTGACACCCCTGAGTTCCCAAATGTGTATCAGAAATCCAAATAGCACGATAATGCAAATCAACACTCCATTAATCTGTCAGTGGAAAAAATTTAATCAAATTTTTTATTAGATTTTTTTGCAAAAATTTTGACATCGTGTTTATTTTCAAGGGTTACCTGTGTTTCTTCCTCAGGAACTTCACACAAATGAACAACTTGTGTTACCTTATAGAAAGGGATCGAGTCGGTATCGTTTTCTGTGCCTGGTTCAATATTCGTATACACCTGTATGTACTCGCCAATACGAGGAATCAGTTTGATTTTTAAGGAGATGGGCTCCATGTGTTTGATCTGTACAATGGCTCGGATAATCGATTTTTGCATGACATCGCTCCTTCATAATGATTGATCATCATTTCATTGTAAAGAACTGTTATGACATATCGATGACAAAAATGGATCATGTTTCAAATCAATAAAAAAGCACGACCAGTTTACTACTGTCGTGCAATTGTGGCGAATACAAACCTTAGTATTATGATGATGATTTTATGACCATACTTTTGTTTTAAATTTATTTTACCTGACAAGCCCGAACATCTTTAAATACCTTATACTTAGTATCCATCATTGGCAAAATTTATTGTTATGTGCCAATTTGTCCGCCATCATTTTTAGTAATCGCAATCATCGCTGAACGCGGGCGTTTTCCTGCGCCATACCCTGCATTACTTGGCCATTGACTCGTGTATAAGCTTGGATCATGAATATTGGCCATCTTGGTACCTTCACCAGGATGCTGTATATTGACAAAAAGTGTTTTACCATCAGGCGTTTCACAAATGCCTGTGATTTCACAATCTTTGGGGCCGACTAAAAAACGTTTTAGTTTGTCTGCGGCAGGTTTTGCGCCAACATAAGTATTGATGGTTAGATTCGACCCATCTGCTTTTGGATAGGTCAAAGTTTTGACTTGTCCATCACCAACTTGACCTGGAATTGCAGCTAACATCATACAATTACTAGCATCGGTATAAGCACCATCATCCGTTTGAATCCAACAAAGCCCACTTGTCGTGGAGAAACTCAAACCGTCTGGGCTGGAAAAATCTTGATCAGCTGTTAACTGAGATAGATTAATGTCAGCTGCAGCTGTGGCTTCAGCACCGAATAAATAAATATCCCACTTAAAATCGAGACTTTCACTACCATTTGTTTCTTTAATGCGAATAATATGCCCGTTAACGTTACCTGATTGTTTCGTTGTGCCCTTCATGTCCTCATAAGCTCTTGGGTTAGCTGCATCTGGCGCGACTTGTGAGCTCGATGCCACTTCTGAGCGGCGGTTACTGTTATTGGTTAAAGTTAAGTAAATCTCGCCTGTTTTAGGGTGCGTAGAGCACCATTCTGGACGATCCATTTTGGTCGCTCCAGCTGCATCAGCAGCAATTCGGGTATGAATTGCTAGGTCACCCAAATCAGCAAAAGTATAAGCGCTATAATTTTTAATGGCAGGGTTATCCAGTGTCAAGGGCAACCATGTACCTGTTCCATCGGCATTAAATTTAGCTGCATAAATAGTTCCTTCATTAAGGTACTTATCGCCTATTACTAATTTATCGACGGCACTGGTGTCTGCATTAGACCAGCTAGATTTTGAAACAAATTTGTAAAAATATTCGTTGCGGGCGTCATCTCCCTGATAAATCGCGATGGGCTTGCCTTCTTGGCGTAATCCAAAGGCCGAACTCTCATGAGCAAATCGCCCTAATGTAGTTCTTTTTTTGGCTTTTTTGGTTTTATTTAATGGATCAATTTCGACTATGTAACCAAATGTATTCATTTCGTTACGAAAATCTTCAGTTTCACCGTTGGCTAACACACCATTATTAAAACGACGATATTTGTCATCCTCTCCAGCACTTTCCCAACCATGTCTTGATGCTGCACCTTCAGCACGACCATAACGTTTTAAAGCCAACACAGATTTTTTATCTCTTTTGGCATCGTCACCTATAGGACGATAAAAATAACCACTCCAGTTTTCTTCACCTGTTAATAGGGTGCCCCATGGTGTTTTACCTGTCCCACAGTTATTAAGCGTGCCTCGTGCTGTAATGCCACTGGTAGAAAATTTTGTTTTCATCAGCGCATGCCCGCGAGCAACTCCGTCTATTTCCACCTCGGAATTGAGATGGATGCGATGATTAAACAAGGAGTTTTGGACATAGCCCCATTGGTTATTCATCAAGCGAACCTCAAAGAGGGAAATGCCATGTATGGCTAATTCTTTGTCTACTTCAGAAGCTGGGCGTGGCAGTGTTGTTGTACCACCATTGGCATGAAGGAAAAACGAGGATAACTTCTCATCGGTCGTCGCTTCATGGTTCATACCAATAATGGCTCTATCATGACTGAAAATGGATGGTTTTCCTTGGGCATCGATTGGGAATATTTCCATGCCATCGTGATGGTCACCAGCACGATTTTCGTAATCGGTATCTGTCCCATCATTTTTGTAAGCTGCCGTGGTACTGTTTAAAGGATCACCTAAGGCATAAATGACACGCGCTGTATATCCCGTAGGCACACTGACTAAGTCTTGCACGCCTTTGGGTACCGCATTAAAGAAACAAATGGTAGTGAAAGTCTCGATTTTAAGTGGGATATTTATTTATTCGGTGCTGAAGCCACAGCTGCANGTGTAATGCGTCGTATCACTTAAATTCGATGATTTGCAGTCGCCTTTAGTAATTGAAACTTGAGTAGGGTATTTTTTGTCGCCTTCAATCATCTCACCGTTCAAATTGGTGATGGAACCGTCTAAATCTGCGGTTTGCATCGTTGTCAATTGCCCCCATAGGATGCGACCACCGCCGTCAAGCTTTAACCTAACCTTGTTTTGTGGTGCTGCACCGTTTGGATCCATGGTGAAAATAGTGATATCCCACGGTAAGGTATTTTGGATTTCGCCGCTACCTTCATAGAAGTTGGTTTGGCTATATTCTTTTTGTACAACACAATTATTGTACATAACGGTATCACCAGAAATCTTTTCAAGTCGTCCTGTATCTTTTACCCACCAAGACAATTGATCGTTTTCATATTTTGCCCCTGAGGCTGCAACGGCTTGTTTTAGAATGATGGGAGGTTGATTTTTGTCAAGTGAAATAGAAACAAACGCATTGTCAGATTTGCTATTGTCATACTCAACTAGCAGGGTTTTATTATTTTCGCAACGATATTCACGGGTAACACGATCAACGACATTTTGTCCCATCGTTTGAGCAATGGTCTCCGCGTAGTTGATTAACTTATTGTCTTTCCATTGCAAAGTCATCGATGTGGGCACACTCGGCGGGTTAGCTAATCCTTCGGCAGGAGCGTGATCTTTATAGTCAATGCGAACCTTTTGATCACCAATAAAAGTAGCGAGCGTCGGATCGACCCTATCTCCTAAAAAAATACTGTTTTTTCCAATATATTGATTTTGTTCTTTAATGGCTGCTGCTACATAAATGAATGTTCCACTACCGCCACTATCTTGCGCTAAAAAAACAATGGCATCTTCTTGACCGTCACCATTTAAATCACCAAAAAAGGGTTTTCCAAACATGCGCACAGAACTTGGCGTTGTATCTTGAGGGGCTATCCCTTCGAATACGCCGTTATTGAGTCGATAAGGAATATCTTCAATAGTAAAAGTTAGATTTTCAAGCGGTTTTGCTTGGGCGGGTAAATGAGGCGCTACATTATCTTCCGTTTTGACTGACGTGGTGGGCGTATGCGTTTTTTGATACATCAAATAAGCACCTAAGGCAAAAACAGCTAGACATACAGCAAAAAAAATGGAACGTTTATTCATGTGGATAAAATTAATATTTAATTATTGATAATCAATGAGTTATTTTTTGGCAATTTGCCATGGCTAAGGAGGTGTTACTGCATAGATTCCTTATCTTGATTGATATTTCCTATGGGTTCGCGGGAAATCATCGCGAGGATAAATCACGAAACAAAAAATCGTGAGAAAGGTTGACAGCAATGAAGAAAAACTGAAAAAATATTATTTTATATAACAACCGTCATGATGTTTAGAGGACTGCGCGTTTTTTAGAACACAATCTAACATGGCAACCATATAAGACTGCTTGACACATGATGGTCACCTTAAATCAAACATGCTCATCTTCGGTTTTGTGTTTTCCAATGGAATTGGATTTTTGTGGTTATTTTTTTAAGTATTTGATAGCACGGCAGTAGGGCACGATGAAATGCATTTAATCCTTAATCATCTGCTGTAATGTTTTAAATTGGGGATGTTTAGCGCTTTTGAGCCATTCAAACAGCACCATTTCTGTGGTGACCAACTCAGCACCGTTGTGTGCTAAACGATCAAAAGCCGCGTCACGGTTACGCTCAGTGCGTGAGCTACACGCATCGGTCACGACCCATACTTCATAATCTTCATCTAAAAGATCAAGTGCCGTTTGTAAAACACAGACATGAGCTTCAATGCCTGCGATCACAATACAATTGGGCCCATCCTCTTGGGGTGGAGGCTCTTTACGTAGATGTTTGGGAAGTCCTGCAGCACCTTTACCGCGCGGTGGTGCTGGTGGGCGCAAAAGAGCCTCAAGCTCATTGTTGTAGGCGCTAAAGTGATCTTTCGTTAGGATTTTTTGGCAATACCCTGCTAATTCAGGTGCAAGACCACCTAACTTGTCAGGGCAATGCTCAGTCCCCCACGTGGGGACACTGAGGAGTTTTGCCATTTCAGCTAATTTGTGGCAGTTGGCGAGAATCAGCCCTTCGTCATGCAGTAGCGCCATTAACTTGGGTTGGACATCGATGAATAAAAGTTGCGATTGATCATCATCTAATAACATTTTAGTTTACTTCCGCTGGGCTTTGTTTATTGGATTTTTTGTCTTTTTTAGGACTGCTTTCGTGGCTGATGATGTTTAAGGTCACTTCTTCTTTGTCGTTGAGATCGACATCAACTTCTCCGCCATTCACCAGCTGTCCAAACAACAATTCATCCGCTAACGCTTTGCGTATCATGTCTTGAATCAAACGCTGCATTGGACGTGCGCCCATAAGTGGGTCAAAGCCCTTCTTAGCAAGGTAACTTCTGAGATTTTCAGAAAAGCTAGCCTCGACATTTTGTTGATGCAACTGCTGTTCAAGCTGCATTAAAAATTTATCAACGACTTTAAGGATGATCGCTTCATCTAAGGCTTTAAAGTGAATGGTCGCATCCAAACGATTACGAAACTCAGGCGTAAAGAGCTTTTTGATGTCTTCCATCTCATCACCTGATTCGCGCTTATTGGTAAAACCTATCATGGCCTTTTGCATGGTTTGTGCCCCAGCATTGGTTGTCATGATGATGATTACATTGCGAAAATCAATCTTGCGACCATTGGTGTCGGTGAGTGTGCCATTGTCCATGACTTGCAAAAGGACATTATAAACATCAGGATGAGCTTTTTCGATTTCATCTAACAATAAAACCGCATGGGGTTTTTTATGGATGGCTTCGGTCAATAAGCCACCTTGATCAAAGCCAACGTAACCTGGAGGCGCACCAATTAAACGACTCACGGTATGGCGTTCCATGTATTCTGACATGTCAAATCGTACAAGGTCTATACCGAGAGTGAACGCTAACTGCTTGGCCACTTCGGTCTTACCAACCCCAGTTGGTCCTGTAAATAAAAAACTGCCAATAGGTTTATCCACTTTACCAAGACCTGCTCGCGTCATTTTAATCGCTGCGGCTAAAGCATCGATCGCAGGGTCTTGACCAAAGACGGTATTTTTGAGATCCCGAGATAAAGTGGCTAATTTGCTTCGGTCATCATGAGAGACTGATTGTGGTGGAATGCGAGCAATTTTGGCCACAATATCTTCAATTTCAGCTTTTCCAATCGTTTTTTTGCGTTTCGATTTGGGCAAAATCCGTTGTGCAGCACCGGCCTCATCAATGACATCAATCGCTTTATCGGGCAACTGACGATCATTGATGTATTTGGCCGATAATTCTGCTGCCAAGGCAAGAGCTGCATCTTGGTATTTGATTTCATGGTGTTCTTCAAATTTAGATTTTAAGCCCTTGAGAATTTGTACGGTTTCGCTGATGGTCGGTTCATTGACATCGAGCTTTTGAAAGCGACGCGACAAAGCGGTATCTTTTTCGAAAATACCTCGGTATTCGTTATGCGTCGTAGCACCAATACACTTTAACCATCCTCCTGATAATGCAGGTTTAATCAGATTGGAGGCATCCATAGAGCCACCTGCGACAGAACCTGCTCCAATAATGGTATGAATTTCATCAATAAATAAAATGGCCTCAGGTTTGGCTTTAAGTTCATTCAGAATAGCTTTTAAGCGTTGCTCAAAATCACCACGAAAGCGAGTGCCCGCTAACAAAGCACCCATGTCAAGCGAATAAACAACCTTATCGTGTAATACTTCTGGGACATCATTTTGGACAATGCGCCAAGCCAAGCCTTCAACGAGCGCAGTTTTGCCCACACCAGCTTCACCAACGAGAAGAGGGTTGTTTTTGCGACGACGGCATAAGATTTGCACAAGTCGTTCTAGCTCAAAAGCGCGACCGATTAAAGGGTCAATTTTCCCTTCTTTGGCTAAGTCATTTAAATTATTGGTAAATTGGGCTAGAGCACTTTTCTTTTCTTTTTCAGCTTGTGCTTCTTCTTCGCTTAGGTGTTCCATGGGGGACTCATGTGGTGTTTCGCCACTTGTTTTACCAATACCATGTGAAAGATAGTTCGTAATGTCTAGGCGAGAAACATCTTGCTGCTCTAGGAAGTAAACAGCATGAGAATCTTTCTCGCTGTACATCGCCACCAATACGTTAGCACCTAATACTTCACGCTTATCAGAGCCATTGCTCGATGATTGCACATGAGCAATCGCACGTTGCATAACACGTTGAAAACCAATCGTTGGCTGAACATCTTCGCCGTCGGGGAGATTGGCCTGCAAGTGTTCTTTAAGGAAATTTTGCAAATCGCTGCGTAATGCATCTAATTTGGCGCCATTAGCCATCAGTGCTTGACTAGCACTGGGGTTGTCTAGCAGAGCTAATAATAAGTGTTCAAGAGTTAAATACTCGTTATGAGCTTCTTTAGCCATCGTAAACGATTGACGGAGTGTAACTTCGAGTTCGTGAGCAATCATGCTTCCTCCATGGTACATTGTAAAGGGTGTCCTTCGCTTTGTGCGGTCTGAATCACTTGCGCAACCTTGGTTGCTGCAATATCTTTGGGGTACAAGCCACAAATAGCTTTGCCTTGCGTATGAACGGTCATCATAATTTCGTAGGCTTGGTCAATGTTTTTGTTAAAAAAAGACTGCAACACCATCACCACAAACTCCATGGGCGTATAATCATCGTTTAACATCAATACTTTATACATGGAAGGCGGTTTTGCCTTCGCTACTTGACGCTCTATGACAACATGATCTTGGTGTTGGGGGCTGGTCATGGTTGTGTAAAATCAACGGGTTATAATGAATGCTCTAAAAATTAACGAATCTATCGACTACTATAACGGAAAATAGCACAAAGGGTTTCAAAAAAACGTGATTTTGATGATTGTAGCCTTAAAAGAAAATTGCGCGTTTTTGAGAAAAATCAACCCTACTGAAAAAATAATTTTTAACCCAATTATTCCAATTTCACATCAACCGTGAATTTTGTCACTCCTTGCCTTGCCGTAGCAGTGCCCTCGTCGTCATTTCGCATTCACGATTGATGTCGCATTGGAATAAGTATGGCACAATACTTCTTTTATCAGAAAATCATTGCATATCACCCTTATGTACGTCTGGCAAACTTGCTTAACCCCTCAAGAAACTCCTGATACGCCATATCGAGACGCACCTCGCTCAGAAGTTTTGAAGCTATTTAGCAGTCCGCGGCGACGTATTCTTGAAATTGGCGCATCAACAGGGGCGACAGGCGCACAGGCAAAAACCCTTTTTCCAGATTGTGAGTACTGGGGGATAGAACCTCGACAAGGCGCAGCTGAAATTGCCAAAACACGCTTGGATCGAGTATTAATAGGCAATTTTGAAGATTTTAACCTTGAACAAGAAGGGTTAGCAAAAGGCAGTGTCGATGGTGTGATATTCGCCGATGTTCTTGAACATATGTATAATCCATGGCAGGTTTTGGTCGATCTTTTGCCTTATCTGGCAGCAGATGCACAAGTCATCGCTAGCATCCCCAATTTGGGTAATTTAGTGAGTTTGAACGATCTGGGAACAGACCGCTTTGCTTACCAAGATACAGGTCTGTACGACATCACGCATATTCGTTTTTTTACCCTCAATACCATTCGTTTGCTTTTTGAGCAAACAGGTTACCAAATTCAAAACATCGTGTCGATGATTCATCCTGATGTGGCAGACATCTACCAACAAGCCGTATCGATTTGTGCTCAGGAACCCAACAAAACTTTTGATGTGGGGCACGGGCGGATTCGTTATGCGCAAGCTAATTTTGACGAAATTTCAAAGCTGTGTACAGCTGAGTATTTTGTGATGGCAAAACCCGTTGTTGTTGCCCAATCCGAACCGTCATTTTAAGGTAAAGTTTTATGCCAAGTGCACCCAGTTCTTCCCCAAAACGCGTGACGATCACTCGTCGCATGGAGTTTGATGCGGGGCATCGTATTCCCAATCATGATGGACATTGTCGCAATATGCATGGTCATCGTTATGTTTTAGAATTAACTGTATCGGGGGCAGTGATAGATCAGCAAGAAAATCATGAAGATGGGATGGTCATCGATTTTGGCATTTTAAAGCGCATTCTCAATCGTGAGGTGATCAACCAGTTTGATCATGCTTTTATCGTGAGTCGTCATGATACGAAGGTGTTGACGTTTTTGCAAAGTTGGGAGAATCACAAAACAGTGATCCTTGATGTTGTACCGACCGTTGAAAATATCGCCGCTTATATCTTTGATCGTTTGCAGCAAGTGATTGCCAATGATTCAGCGCATCAACTGTCGTTGGATAAACTGCGGCTTTATGAAACGCCCAATTGTTGGGCCGACATTATGGATACCTCTGCGTAGTCATATCGTTACACCTTGCTATGGGTTCAAAACAAGCGTGCGAAAAAGTTGAGTGACTGCAATGTCATTATTGTTATTTATCATGGAGTTAAAATGAGTGTTATCGTTAAAGTAGAAAACCATGTCATGTCGATTATCTTTGATCGACCTGACAAAAAAAATGCGTTTACCGCTGAAATGTATCGTGAAATCAACGATGCGATCATGAATGCAAGTAAAGATCCCAATGTGCAAGTGGTGTATTTTTACGGCAGTCACGATTGTTTTTCAGCGGGCAATGACTTAGCTGATTTTGTGGCGAACCCACCTGATGGACAAAATGCGCCCGTTTTTCAGTTATTACAAAATTTAGCCAAGTTTGAAAAACCTGTGGTGGCAAGTGTAAGTGGTCTAGCAATTGGCATTGGCACAACGATTTTACTGCATTGTGATTTGGTGTATTGTGCTACCAATGCTAAATTTTCGATGCCTTTTGTCAAATTGGGTTTGTGCCCTGAAGCGGCATCGACTTTACTGTTACCTCGTTTGGTTGGTTATCCTCGTGCTGCCGAATTATTGCTATTGGGGGACATGTTTTCGGCTGAAGACGCCTATCAAATGGGGCTGGTTTCTAAAGTGACCTCGATTGGCGATTTGATGCCTTATTCGATGACGCAGATCAATAAATTATTGGCTTTGTCACCAACGTCTTTGCGTGTTACTAAAAAACTGATGAAACACGAACTGAGCGCTGCGGTCAGCGAAACGATTGCGCGTGAAGCAAGTCTTTTTGGTCGTTTACTCGAACAACCTGAAGCTAAAGAGGCGTTTGCGGCATTTTTTGAAAAACGAGCCCCTGATTTTACACAGTTCCGAAAAGAAAATACTTGATTTTCCAATGGGGGGGTCGTGAAACTCGACTGTCAAATAGCTTGACGGACCGACCCGTTGTGGCCATAAAAGGTGAGTCATCGCTCACGTAGACAGGCTGCTGGTGAGTTGCGTTAGCTTGGCGTTTTTAATATTGACAAGGATAAAGGGCAATCGTGATGAATAAGTCATTGTCAACCTCATGGATAGAAGGTAGCAGCTATGTGTTGATGGGGCTGGCGTTATGGGTGGCACTAAAGTACTCATTATTAGGCGCTTTATTAAGTGGTTTGTTGGTCTATTCGCTCGTTACGACACTGCTCCCCCGTTTATACGCACGTTTTCATCATGAAAGTAAAAGCCAAACCTTTAAACTGGTGACGGTTTTTTTGTTAGCTGCTGTTGTGATTACGGTGTTAACACTAGGCGTTTGGGGTCTCGTCGAATTTTTTCAGAGTGAGGCAGGCAATTTAAATTTTTTATTGCAAAAACTTGCCGATATTTTGACGGACTCAAAAAGTCAGTTGCCTGACTGGGTGATTGGCAATTTGCCCGCCTCGAGCCACGAACTGAAAAATGTCTTAATTGCCGCATTAAGAGAACACGCGAGCACCGCGCAGCACATCGGGGCAGTATTTGGTCGTTCGATTGTGCATATTTTAATTGGCATGGTGATCGGTGCGATGGTAGCCTTGCACGAGGTGGTCAATACGCATCATTATCGACCACTTGCCAAAGCGTTGGTTCAACGTGTTGATAATTTGCACAAAATCTTTAGCGACTTGGTTCATTTCCACTTGATTTTTTGGATACCAAAATTGTAAAATGTTTTTCAGACCAGCTAATTCCCACTCCTTTAAGGTCGGACAATAAAAGTCATATTCACCCTCCGGGTGAAAATCATCCCCCAATATCTCTGGCGACATCCCCATACGTTTAAATAACTGACGTTCACGTTCAACATTTTTATATTGAAACAATTTTAATAACCAACGCTTATCAGTAATGGCAGAGCCATGCGCACAAACCAAGCTATTGGGCAAAACGCTTTTCTCACGTCCCGCCGGGAATAAATAATTTGCACAAGATGACATACACAACCCATCGATTTCAATGGCTATTTTGCGATCTAAAATCACATCAGCCAGATCCATCGCATCATCGATAGGTCCACCATAGCTTGAAAGCCTTATTTTGTTGATTTGAGGCGTCAGATGAGCAATAACATGCCCGACAGAATAAGGCTCTGTAATCAACCCTATCACCTGTATTTCATGTTCACTAATTTTGTTCACAACAGGCATGGCAGGAGGTTTGTAGTCATTA